AAAATTCTGATTTTTTGTTTAGAGAACTTAACCATGTATATATTCTTCATTGGTAGCTACACCTGTTTTTACCGAGAGTTCAGGCAGCTTCTTGATGTTCCTCCTACATAATGCAACCTGCTACCAGTCGAAGCAATCAAATTTATTTCGAGTTGATGTCAATTATCGAATCTCTTGTTGCAAAAACGAAGATTTAGGGCTCCTAATGATGGTAGCTCCGTACGCTAGCGAGATCTCCTACCACAGTTCCAAGAGTTTTCCGGTGAATCTGATTTGCGACTCGTGGCCGGACGCTGTCATAAGGAAGTTGCACATTGTCGAACTTCCAATGTTTCCACAGAACTGCGTTCGCCACTTGTAGAATCATTGGAACATACCCCTCGATCGTCACACTAGTGAAAGACCGAGAGAACATTTCTTGCCAATCATACAGAACAGTAATTTCTTCTTAAATGAATTTCCACCTATCGGCGAGATTCATTATGAAGAATCCAAAGAACTTATAAATTCACGTTAGGGCCTAGCTGTCATCTCCACTTGACAATTTCTTTAGAGATATTCGGCAGGCATTAGCTCCCAGATGTTTAGTGCTGTTTTTGAACACTCTTTTCGATAATTACTGATTACATTGACATATATCCTGGGTGGGAGCTCAGAGAATCTCTTAATGAATGCTAATAACAAATTTTACCAATAAACAATTTAGAAAGTAAAAATATTTTTGCAGAGCTTTGTTTCAACCTGATATCTTCCGTCCCAACTGCTTAAAAGGAAGCTACTTTTTTTTGTAATTAGCGAATAATATACACAGATAGGCCATAGATTAGCTACCAAATTTACTGATAATTGTGATGGAAAATTCAGAGATGAACAATCAAAAGTTTTGCAGAAGTAGGTTACTTGCAAAGAAGACGTATGAAGCGCAGTGGCCGTTTAATGCACTTCAAAGTACGTAATGTTTCTAAAGTGTATGTGAGTATCACAGACGGGACTTGAAAACCTGTCCATTGATCTGGCCATTTAGACTAGCCTCCTAATCCTCAATATACTATTGTACATTGTCACACTTCGGATTATATATACTTACAGATCAAAGAACAGCGAAAAGTAAAAATTTGGAACATGTTTCTATACAACAGCATTTTACGCAACTGTATCATCCCCACAGTGATGTCATCCCATATTTTGAAGTGACTGCTCACGTATCAAAGAACTGAAGTCGCGGAGGTTTGGGAAAGTTTTTAAGTTCTTTCTGTGTGTTTTTTTTCATTTTATCTCATAAAGATTTAGTGCAGGAAAGACGGTGACTCTGAGATGAGGTAACTCGTCCTGACCAGATCCCAGAA